ACTGTTATAATAAAAAGTATTTCCTTTTCGTGTTCTTCGTATTATTTTTTATTATAATGTGCAGCTTACGACTATTATTGCTGGCCACCACTGGTGTATAATTTTTTTATACCACTGTCTATCAAAAAATTTACATTATTCAATAAGTCATACTGAACTTGCTGCCCTACAAAATTTCTCATGCTGCCTTAAAAAACTCATTTATTTGATTCAAAAGTATATTTTTTAAAGTGTGCAAAGCATTGGTGTAATTCCATTAAATTTCAGCAGGTGCAAAATTTTTATCTGTCCAATAATCGCAATGATAAATTTAGTCATATTACTCATATTTAAAACTAACTGCATTGCTCGCTTGTACTATAGTTATCTTTTTATATTTGATAACAATATAATATAAACCTCGATATAAACAAAAATCAAAATCTGTAGGTACCTATATTTTAAATACTTTATATTGTGCTGTGTCTGTACTATGATACATTATACATATAAAAATATAATATTTATACAAAATTTTTAAATAAGTTCAAAAAAAATTCAACAAATCAATGAAATACAGTTGGTATTGTATTTCAATAGGTATAAAGTTCAGCATTTGAAATTGTTGCACCTGCTACATAATACCAGGGAGTGCAAGTGCACCGTCGTGCACCCCCATAATTACGCCACTGGTGCAAAAAGTGTACCTATAATTTTTCTCACAAAAGAAAGAATAAACTTGTTTTGTGCATATAACTGACTGTCAATACACATTCCAGGAATCTATTTCCTCTGCTTAGATATTTTTAGTGGCATGATAAACATTTTACTCCATTGCTAACCGTTATCGATTGTGACTTTTGGGTGGTTAGTTAACAGTATATTGGTCGTGGAACAATGTGTTGCAGGGCAGCGATACACAAGCTTAGATGATTTTTTGTCAACGTACTGATTTATTTTCTTGTGGGCTGGTGTTAAAAATTAATACTTATTTTTTATCACTAATCAAAATTAATGTGTGTATCTCAAGTTAATTAGCTATTAAAATTGGTTACCTACAAGATATGGTTTTTATAATTCTAAATTAAACCAATTCAAATGATTTTATTGAATGTGCTAGTGAATAATGTGGATTTTGTATTAAAAAAGTTATAAATTTTCATTTTCTTAAGTATAATGTCCCATATAATGTCTTGTAATATGTATTCCTATTTATAAATGTTAATTTCATTTTTTTAGATTCTGAGAATTAGTATCGGTTTTAGAGTTGTGTTGTTATTTTTGTGTCTTATATCATATTTTAAAACTAATAATTTATCTTATCTTCAACAATGAGGGTGGTTTCTGTTACCAAATTTGATTGAGTTAGCATTATAAGGACATATCCCCATTACTTTTCTTAATAGTTCGGAAAACTGGCAGAAAACAAGAATATTTATGCTATACCAGTTTTTACCAAAAATAATTTAGCCTTATTTATTGAAATTTAGAAAGAAATATTGATGAGGATAAAATGTTTTTATTTATTTACGTATGTTAAGTTGAATTTTTAACTTTATCAAAAAGCCTTTATTTCATACAATATGGTTCCTCTAAGACTTAAGTTGTTTTCATAGTAGTTAAACAATTTGAGAAATTCCTAATTACTATTTTATTATTATTCAAAAAGCATAAATTATTGGGACTTGAAACTTTTTACTACATTTTTATTTTCTATAGGTACACAAAAGGTATTTGGACTTAATTTTATATATTTATCCCACAAAAACTAATCAAACCATTCTATAGACCTGATACACAATATTGACATAAATTTAATGATATGATAGTTATTTGACCCTACGATACTTCTTACTAGAAAAAGAAGTTATTTTTTATTAGACAAGTATTTTTTTTTTTTTATAAACTGCCAATAAATTTATCTACCATTTTCCAGATTATATTTATTGATAGCAGTTTGAACACATCTTAATAGTAACTAAATAAGATTAATGATAAATGAGTTTTAACTTATGTATATATGGTTTTACATTAATATCAATTGATGTAGTGCCAAACATTATCTTGAATTAGCAAGTATGGTACAATATTGATTGAATCTAAGTATATATTTTTAATAGAATATCCTGTGAGATATAAGGCCTTTAAATAATTAGTTCTTCTAATTTTCATCGTTAGGTAGTTAATATCCCTGTTAATATAAACATTGTCTAGCTGATGATAGAATGATCCTACAATTAGTAAGAATTTTATTTAATTCTACTTCTAATTATTTATAAATAATTAAAACTTCTTTGGTAAATGTTTTATATATGTTTTAGATTATTAATTTATACTTTAAGGATGAGGCGCCTTTAAAAAATGGAGTGTTTTTGTTTATGCATCGGGATTATCTATGTACCTAAAATCTCAACCTTGTGAAAATTATTATAGTATCAAAATGCAATTCTTCTAGTATCCAAGCTGTACCTAACTAAATGTATATAGAAATAAAATTATTGAAAATGTAATAATTATTATTATACTTTTGTTATTGTTAATTTACATTATTTGTTGTGTACGCAAGTGATTTTTCTTTAAAAAAGTGTAGAAACATCAAAATCAAATCAAAGTTTTTAACATTTTGCTGTAAATTAAAAAGATAATTCATATATATATTAAATATATATATATATATATATACCTCAATATATACATATATATTTGTGTAATTTTCTAGAATTTGAGGGCAATTTCAAATTTCTTATTACATTTTGAAAAAAAAAAAACTGTTGAAGTCATTTAGTTAACGCCGATGTAGTAAGCATAAACGCTCCTGGTAAGTGTTAATTAAACTAAAACTAGACATAAATGAGGCCATTATTTATTAAATTGATAAATTGACTAAAACAATGATCATAGGGTAATTTATTTTTTCACCATATTATTTATAATAATAATATCTACATTTTTAAAGTAAACTTCAATAGTTTTACTTTAAATTGTTGATCAAACATTTATTTATAAATACAAATATTTTTTTTTATTTCAGAAATCCTGCTGTTCGTTGACAATTAACTGTAACAGATTATGGTAAAAGCCCATGATGAGTCATGGAGCATCATGTCTCCCACAGACGCACCGGCTTTACCACCTCGTAAACTATCTCAAACCAATCGCCCTCAATCTGTTGAATCAATTGCAACCAGACTGAAAAATCCATTACTAGAACCCAGTTGCATAGAAGAAGCAGAATGGTATTGGGGTGACATAACCAGAGATGATGTACAGGAAAAACTGACTGACATGCCTGATGGTACATTTCTGGTTCGAAATGCATCAAATAAGGCTGGCGAGTACACATTGACATTAAGGAAAGGAGGAACCAATAAATTAATAAAAATATATCACAAAAATGAAAAGTTTGGTTTTTCAGAACCTTACAATTTTTCTTCCGTTATTGATCTTGTGAACCATTATCGTAATGTTTCTTTGTCACAATATAATTCAACATTAGATGTAAAATTATTGTACCCTGTGTCCAGATTTCAACAAGATGAAGAGTTTGGTACTTGGAAAAGTTTAAATGTTGATGTTGTATGGATGCGTTTGATTGAACTACTTAAAGATATTTTGAAGAAATCTATTTCATATGAAGAATTGTCTAAAGAATTTCAAGCTGCAACGGCTGATATATCAGTGATGCGTATGGGATTGCAGCAGTACCAAGAAGTGAATAGAATGTTTGAAGATCAGCTAAGAGTACATGATAAATTTCTTAAAAAAGCTGAACGCCATGAAGCTGATAATTTAGTTAAAAATATTGAAATAGTAAAAAAACGAATTAAGTTACTGCTACACGCCAAAGCAGTACTTGAGGAGAAGTTATACACGTAAGTTTTATTTTTTTATATTTAATTTAATATTTGTTATTAATTGTAATTATTTTGTTTTTAGACAAGTAGCCTATAGTCAGACATTGGAGCGGCAAATGTATCAATTAAAACAAGAAGGTGCAATAGTTACACGTCAAAAAGATAAATCAGTTCGGTGGTTATTGACCCATGGTGTGGCTTACGAAGCAATTCATCGAGTGTTGAATGGAACTGATTGGAATACTTGTAAACCTGAAGATATTCAACTGCCTCARAACCTGGCTCATTTAGATGAGGGTACTTGGCTTTTGCAATCCTGTTCACGTGTAGATGCTGAGCGTCTATTAAACGGCAAGCGCAATGGAACATTTTTGATACGACCCAGTCGTACAGGACAATCAGCATTATCTATAGTTTGTAATGGAGTTGTAAATCATTGTATAGTATATAGAACCCCAAAAGGATTTGGATTTGCTGAACCTTACAATATATATTCTTCTCTAAAAGATCTAGTCATGCATTATTCTCAAACTTCTTTAGAAGAACATAATGATTCTCTGACTACTACATTAGCTTATCCCGTGTTAGCTGAAAATGACAAAAAATAAAATGAGTAGTGTATTACCAGCATCAACAGGCACTTAGTGTTTATGCAATTTGGTGATTCAATTGTTGTGATAATGATTACCTTTTATATATTAATTATTTACTAGTATTAACGAGTTATTTAATAAGGAGCAATATTTTTCATAAAAGTGTGCATTTATTATAACATATTATTGATGAAATTATATTTTAACTTGTTTATATTTATTATACCAATACCAACTTGTTTTCTTTTGTGTCCAAATTTTTATGTAAAAATTATTTTTGTATAGTATACATTAAATTATGTTAAAAATATTACTAATTTATACATTTTAACAAATTATTTTTCGTTAAAAAATATGAGTTTTTATTTTTGTATTCTAATATATTAGAATGGCCATTTATTTTACTTTACCAGAATGAGAACATTTATTATTGTGTATCCACATATACACGTACTATTAATTTTTAATGTTTTAGAAGCATATTTGTAAGAAGTATATTATATTATTTTTACCATTTAATATTCTTTCAAATAGTTTTTTTTTTAATAATATAACATGAAAATGCAAGTGATAAGTTACATAACCTGGGAAATAATATGTTATTTTATTACCTACCTTCTCAAACTATACTCTCAAGTCTAAATATTTAATAGTAATAACCAAAACTTGGCCAACAATGGGATAAACACTAAATTTACTATAATATATCACAAAAAATGTAATTAGCTCAAAAACTATAAATTTTTATAAATACCCATCATGAATTATCTACATCTATCATGTATACAAAATAAATCATAATTTCACGCATAGATTATAATTTATTTAATTATTCTTGCATGACTAGGACTGCAAAAAGTATTCTTGAAAACATTTTCAGTGGAAATGGGACGGGGCGGGGGGATATTGGACTTCTTGGTATATCATTTTTTCTGTATTTTTGTTATTTGAGAACAGACATACTGGAGAACATATTTGTAAGTGATATTTTCTTTTACCTTCCAGATTTTAATTCCAACAGCAAAGATATCTTTTTCCCTTGACATTTGCTTTTTCTGATAAAATGCAATTTGTGATCGAGGTATGAACCAGCAATGTTATTTTTTAATGCAATTAATGGGTAATTATTATATGACGAGTGCCAAATACTCGGATCTTGTCCATCAACTTTTTTATGTGTTTGACTTGATAATTAATAGTTATAATATAATCTTGAATATTTGATTGTACTTTGTACCATTTTGTATGAATTAAACAAGATAATTTATCTCTTATAGCCTTTTAGATTAAGTATATAGGCACTTATTATTCCTTACATTACAAACATTTTTTTTTTTTTATGCAATTTTATTTATGAACACTAAAGAAGTAATGAATAATGATCGAGGTGTATAACGTCTAGACATACTGTACATTATCAGTTGATATGACAGTAATGATGGTTAGCTTTACAAATTTTAAACATGAAATTAAATTTTTTCATGAAAAATTTGTTTTAAGTCATCTCAGTTCTTGCTATAAAACTTCGTTAATAATTATTCAACTATTTTGCATGTTTGTCTAAACTTTAATCTGAAAATTAATCATTTTTAACTTATTTAATTTTAGAAAAGACAATTTTGTCCGTCTAAAGCCACACAAGTATTGTGACAACAATAAATCTCCTGAAAGACAACATCGAAGGCATAATTCAAATTCCGACAACGATGATCGTAGAAAAAGACCAAGGCAAGTCAGATGCTGATCACGTATGGGGTTCTAAAGACTCATCTAGTAAAAAAAAATCTGTAGTGAAAAAAGAAGAACCAAATTTTGAAACTACTGGCAAGTTAGCTGAGGATACAAATTTAAGGCTTTTAATGGCATAGTTATTAAGTATAGTGAGCCAGCTGAGGCAAGAAAACCAAAACGACATTGGCGATTATACCCATTTAAAGGAGAGAAGCAATTACCTGTATTACACATACACAGACAAAGTGGATATTTACTTGGGCGTGATCGTAAAGTAGCAGATATACCGATTGATCCGTCTTGCTCAAAACAGCATGCAGTTCTTCAATACAGATTAGTTTCTGCCAAAAAAGACGGACGCCATATAAGATGTAATCAGCCATATATTATTGATTTAGAGTCGGCTAATGGAACTTATGTTAATAATCAACGTATAGATTCCAAAAAATATGTAGAATTGATGGAGAAAGATGTCATTAAGTTTGGGTTTAGTTCTAGAAAGTATGTGCTTTTACATGAACATAGCACGGATTCTGGAGATAATGATAGTCTTGCTGAAGATAATTCCAATGAGGAATCAAATGTAGCTTGAATGCAAAACTTATTTTAAGGAATTAGGAAGTTTTCTTAATTTTTTTAAACTGTAAATAAAGCAAACGAAGATCAATGTTTRAATTCTTGTATTTAAAATAATTACCTTTGCATAATTAAATATAACTTTTTTTATGTGCCTACCTATATAATACAATGAATATTTTTGTAAACATCTTCATAGTTCATAACAGTTATATTACATACTAAGTAATGAAATATTAAATTTTATAATCATCTGTCTGTTATTAACATTAATTAATACTTACTAATTTTTCATACCTATGTTAAAATCTTAGAATTTAAATATAAGTATGCACATTTTTATATTGTAGATACATAGTTTAAACAAAGTCTTAACTTTAGTGACAACATATAATTTAAAATGTTCCTTAATAAAACAAAATAATGTTAATAATGTTCAATTTCAATATTTAAAAAAAAATATATCACTCCTGTCTCTTTGGTTAATACATAAAAATTGAAATGTTTTTGATTGATAAAATAATATTGAACCTCAGTATCTATAAGAATTAATTATCTTCAAAAACAAAGTTATTGGCTGTAGGTA